AGAAAAAGTTATGAGGGAAACAAATCATGATCTCGAGGCCATTATTAAGGGAAAAGCAGAGCTTGTGTAGTTACGCATGGCCCAGTGTCTTTTTCACCGTGGAAGAAACACAGTCACATGCATAAATAATCTAGTGCAGTAAGTAAGACAAGAAGTGAAAAGGGAATGAGCACACACACTAAAAGGAGAGTTGAAATCCTCAACACTTTCTCATACAAAAATATAAGTATTAATAAAGTAACTTTGATGGATTGATTTTTATTCCACACGAGTAAATAAGAGCCGAAGGGCGAGACAAACTTGAAAAAGGCAAAGGAGTTGCCGAACAAGAACGTACACATATATGTGGTGGATTCGTGCGTTATTAACCACGTTTCTGAAACCTACGTGTACAAGCGTACATCAAAGTTTTTACGCGCTCCGTGGCTTTCGCTGAAGCACAGTAAATCATAATACAGGTATAAAATTCTAAAATTAATTGAAACTTCGAAACCCCCCCCCCCCCCCCTCCACCCCCCCTGGATGTCCCTGCTTCAAAGTATACCGAGGAACCACCGTGTAATCTGGATTATGCCTGGGAAGGATTCAATAGAACCGGCGGTAACATGAAAAAGGGTACAGACTGGCATAGAATCAAAGCGCGCTGTGCAGAATATTTATGGCCAAAAAGGGAGGTATCAGGAGAAGAAGCAATACCTGGTTTTGTATATTTATGGGCTGCAGCGAATGCTAAAGAAGCAAACAAGAGGATCTTAGAATGTATAACCTGAGATATTAATGAGTTGGGAAAAGAGAGTGAAATAATGATAGCGGGAGATATGAATGCTCACTGAGGACCTAGATGGATATACGGGCTCGAACGAAGGCACGCTACTGGGCATGTGTGAGAGACATATGGTTCAGTTTTTTGCAATACTTGCGAGAAGTGCGATGGCATTATAACGTGGGAATCAGGCAGATCACCCTCTTCAATAGATTACACCCTAATGTCACACAGGTTTTACAGCAAACTACAGGTGATGAAAATAGACGAAGAGGGTTCTAAGAGCTTAGGTAGTGACCATAAATGTATTAAGTAAAACTTCACAAGAAAGCTCCATTCAGAAATAGGGCAAGATAAAACGACTTCTGCTTTACACACACACACACAAGAAAAAAAAAACGCCTCTCCACGTGGTGAATGATGTTGATTGGGGAAAAGCTCTGGTGGTGCTTGTCTGCGTAGACGCTGAGCCGCAGCATGCCGAGCCTTTCGTTCATTTTCATCCATGCTACGCTGCGGTCAAATGCTCAAATGCGTATATAACCAGCTCCATACCACACATTCTCTTTCTGATATGAATGAAAACGAACGAAAGGCTCGGCATGCTGCGGCTCACCGTATACGCAGACAAGCACCACCAGAGCTTCGCCTCAATCAACATCATTCACCACGTGGAGAAGTGGTTTTTTTTGTTTGTTTTTTTGCCCTACATGAGCACGGGAGCACGTGCTTACGTGCTCGTGAGCACGAGTACCCGACGCCGGACATCGGACGGACATACAGACATGGCTAGCCCCTAAGGAGCTTCGCCCCTAAAAAGAAACAGTTGGAAATAGTGCTTGTGCAAAGAGGCGAGGTCATTTTGGTAGACAAGCAAACATAATGGAATTATACGAGTCTAACTAGGTTATTTGAGCGAGAGCTAGTTAGATTCCGAAGGAAACAAAGAGGAAAACGAGGAAACAAATCCAAGAGCCGGTGGGATGGCGAGGTGAAGGCAGCAATAGAGAAACCTAAATAGGCTTTTCGGAAACAGGAATCCGAAGCGTACGTGTGAGCCTGAGAGTGAAGTGAAAATAAAATGGGACGGATTTCTAAGGCTTAAAAAGGAAACGTCTTTTATCAATGAAAACAAAAGTCAAGAAAAAGAAAGCGCAATGGTTGGTTGAAGGAGACAAGAAGGATAGAGAGGCAGCGAAAACATTTTTGAAGCACCTTAACTCACTGTAAGTAACAGCATAAAGATGGGGTAGCTTTACACCGCCATATAAAAAGGTAGCCGATTGAAAAGGGAGGAAGCGATGCACCATTCCATGAGCAACAGTGATGGCCGAAAACTTTAACTAGCCAAGATTTTTAGGTGGTAGTGGAGTAGAGGAGGAAGGCAGCCTAATTAGTGAACTGGAAGCTATCGGACAAGGGAAATTGGAAAGGGCGGAGGAGGGTTCCTAGCGGTACATCAACAGGTTCAGATCGTACTCCGATTCTGTTACGAAAACGATTAGGCGCATTATTAAGGGAGGTAATGAGTATACCTGTTATGAATTGCGGCATCACAGAAGAATAAAATCTAAGTCGAATAAGTTTAATATATGAAGAAAAGGAAGATCAAGCGGACACAGCCAATTATCGTCCCATAACGATTACTTCGGGGTTTTCACTATAGTAATGCAGATTCTAAAGAGCAGATTGCAGAGGTATAAAGATAATGTGCTGAAAGAACTACAAAATGGATTCCGCAATCGGACGAGGTTGGAGGACAATTTATTCTCCTTAACACAATGTATTGAGGTAGCAGAGAATGAAAGTAGGCCAGTCTGGATAGCCTTTATGGATATAAAAGGGGCATTCGACAATGTAGTTCAAGGGAACCTGTGGCACATAATGAGGAGCTTAAAAGTAGATAAGGGAATACTGGAGTTTGTTGAAAATGTAGATAATAAATAATAGCAGCATGGGGAAGGAAATGAGATAAAGCGTTACTGTTCATAATCTACTTACAATGACCAGAGAAAACGCTGGAGAATAGTGGTCATAATTTCGACCTCTCATACCACAGGGAATGCCAAAATATTTAACACATTACCAGCTCTTATACAGGGTGTTCCACGTAACTTTAGCCAAGCTTTAAAATTATTTTGGTGCATTTTAGGATGACAGAACGAAAGGAATAATTTTGTTCATTGTTTGGAACAAATCGGGCTATTTCTTGTATTTTTCCCGATTAACTAATTAATTAGGATGAATTAATGAAATTTTAAAATATTCACTTTAGAGCTAAGGTTCTAGTGCCAAAGCTGTAGAGTGTCGTTAGAAACATCCGATTCAGTGGTTTTATCAAGAATCCTTAAAACGGTTATTTTTTCCTGGGTTTCGAAAAAAGCCCGCGAATTACGAAAAAAACACAACTTTGTGCTTGCGCGTCTTGTATCGCAACGCTGTCGGCCGTGGCTTGAATAAACTAGGCCCGCATGTTGAGTAGAACACTGCTGACAGTGCGCTGGGGACATATCAGCGTTTTTTCATGTTTCTTTTCACAATTCGCGTGCTTTTCTACAAACCCTGAAAAAAGAACTGTGTTAGAGGTTTCTTAATACAAAAAAAAACAACACTGAATTGGATATTTCTCAGGACGCTCTACAACTGTAATTGGAGCTTTTTGCCTTGAATTTGATATTTCAAAAGTTAATTAATTATTTTTAATTATTAAGTTAATTGGGCAAAGTGCAAAAATAGCCTGACTTGCTTTAAACCTTTACCAAACTTATTCTATTGGTTTCGTCTTTCTAAAATGCACCAAAATATTTCTAAACCTTGGCTAAATTTACATGGAACAGCCTGTTTATGCAAATGATATAGTACGTTAATGGCTGATAACAGTACGGATCTACAGGAACAAATGAATGTATGTGGTACCGAAGGACAAAGAAAGGTTTCGAATTTAGTAACTATAAGTCAGCAGTCATCATTTATAATGATGACGTGAGGATATATATATATATATATATATATATATATATATATATATATATAACCGAGGGGCATGGGTTCATGACAGTGTGGGGTATCTTAGTGAGCATGAAAAATATGTAACTGTTAAGGGCAACAGAAATATAGCTACAATAAAGAATAGAGCTTTGTGGAATTATAACAGGACTGAGGTGGTGAGGGAAATTTGAAAGGGAGCTAAGGTGCCGAGTTTACATTTTGGCAATGCGGTTTTGTGTGTGAAATCTTATATCTAAGCGAGGTTATCAACATGGTTTGGGTAAACTGGTGTTGGGGGCGCATGGTAAAACTCCTAATCAGAGGTAACAAGGTGATATGTGATGGTCATTATTCCAGGGCAGGGAAGCTGCTAGTCAGATAGAATTTGAAGAGAGATTATAAGGGACATGGAGCAGGAATGATGGGAACGGTAAATTTTCCGGTATCTGTACATGACGGTCGTTTATACAAAGTAGAGAAAGCGAACGTGAAAACTCCGGTGGTAAGTTTCCGGCAGTAATAGTGCAGGCCAGGAAATGTCAGTTAAGGAGAGAGTTAAAGCAGCCGAGAGCGAAAAATGGGAAGTGAGGTTGCAGACTAAATCGACGTTGAAGACTTACCTTATTGAAAAATCTAATTTTTACGTGAAATTTCTGTGTCCAATACGGATATGAATCATACAAAATATATAAGAACATATAAGAACCATATAAGATATATAAGAACCATATGACAAACTTGTGTGAAGTTTCTTATATGTTCTTATATATCTTATATAGCTATTATGTGGCCCTTATATATCTTGTATGATTCGTATATGTTTATCGAACACAACAAATTTCTGATACAAATGGATTTTTTTACTAGGGTATGGAAAATATAAGGTGGGTATTGCCAAGGAAAGTATCTGTGACAATTCCAGGGGAAGATGGTTGTTGTTTGAGGACAGGACAGGGGGCGTTACGAACAAGGGTGTACCGAGCGAAATAACAGGACATAGATACCGTGTGTGGGGCATGTGAGGAGTAAAACGAGACAGCTGAGCACTTCAAGCTTTACCGTAAAGGGCTTTAGCCTGCAGTTGTTTATGACGATACTGATTCAGTGCAGGCTTCGGGCTTCAAAAGAAGCTTTGATTAGGTGGCGGAAGCCGCAACCCGATTTAAAGGGTTCAGCCGTATCCACCCGTCAATCTAATCACTTATCAGACATCGTCATGTAACAGTTGTTGATATTCATTGCACATTGCACAGCGCTTTCAGCATTGAAAATAAAAAGAAAAATCTATGCTAGCTGTTTACAAAGGTTTTATCTTCAGGGTGCAGTGAGCTACGCGTCTGACAGCTTTATCTCGAAGCGGATTTCCAGTGTGCCTCTACGCCAATACGCTTTCTTATCGAGCACGGGAACGGAGCTAACCAACGTGAACGGCGGATTGTCGCCATATCCGGGCATTTCAAAAGCTGACTCGCGACGCAGAGCCGACGCGTTCACGGTGCAGAGGATGTCGCCCGACGATCCCCGTGGGTTAACCAGCGCGAGCGTGAACGCCTTGCTGAACGGCCATCCGAGGCACGGGTCCATGGAACTCTTACAGAACTGCACCATGAAGTCCAGCGTGAGCTTGCCGTTGTCCCGCTGGCAGCTCACGCCCAGTCTCAGCGAGTATCCACACACTTCTGACGGGACGCTGAAAATTTCCTCTCTGTAGTCTGCGATCCTGGAGTAATAGTCCACCCGGCTTACCAAAAGGGACAGCTCTCGAGGGCGCCACGTCTTTGTTACTGCCAGACGCCCCGCATATCTCAGGACCAGTGTTGCGGAATGGGCACCCCCATTCCATTCCAATTCCATTCCGGGGAATTAGGGTTTTCAATAATTCCATTCCTTTCAACTCGTAGGAATGGGGACACTGGGCCCATTCCCACTCCTGGAATGGCTGGATCGTTCCATTCCATTCCTATAATTCCAAAACGTAAAAATTGGCTCTTGACAGCTACATTGTGTTGCCGGCATAAGCACCATAAAGCTGACATTATCAAACGCATAGACAATTGCAACAAAATGAAAAATGCCTAAAAAAAGCACTGATTTTACTAAGCGAAGCGCCAGTGGCACGAAGTGCTTGTTTACATTGTACTGCAAACATCGAGAAAGCCTCTTGATATGTCGATGCTTGTTTAAAACGTCGGTCTTTCGACCACGTGGCTCGCAACAAACAGCAAAACGTAAATCCACTAATTTTCTTTGGCAAACTTTTTTTTTTGCCTTTGTCTTCTAGGACATACGCGGCCAGCCTTTTTGTTTGATAAGACCATAAAAATATCCAGTCTTTGCGTGGCGCAGAAATAAGCTATATTAAGTACTGTATTCTTCAATTACCTGCAGAGCAAAACGGTTAGTACGCTGCTGGAAGCGACTCCATGCACAGTAGCAGGAACACATCCTCTGACAAAGTGCAACCTCTGCGGCGCAACACGAGAGACCATGTCACGAAACAGGCTTTCTGCAGGTCTAGTCAGCTCGGTCACGCGACAAGAGCGGTGACGAGACGACAATCTACTTCACCTTACGATGGACCGCACCAGACAGCACGAGAGCCATCGAAACCAATCCAGTGCCTTCTGAGTGTTGCGTGACCCTGGGGCGCAGCAACGCGCCTTGCGTGTAGTCCCGCTCACGGTGCTGGATTGCCTGGGGTGACTCATAGCGTCCGCAGCGGTCCATCACAAGGTGAAAAAAAGTAGGCAGAGTCTAAAGTCGAAGGAAATGAGCGGGAATCCGCTAGCTTGCTTGTAACCCTAACCCACTTGAATGTAAAACATATAACCCAGAATACAAGCATCGGAAGAAAGTTCAAGTAAAAGGCGGACTTACACGTAAACATGCAGAATAATAAAACAAGTGTAGGAGCAAAGCGCAAGAGGAGACGAGAGAAGTGAATCTTGCTTTGTTTTATTGTAGAAGCAAACCCACAGTTCGCACTTCAAAGGAGTGCGCGCGAATGAACGTGGAAGGCAGCAGGTTTGCCCGCCTGCTAAACAACGCTCCTCCAACTATACGAAAACAATAACTGATCATCTTTCGGCGGCGCGCGAGTCAACGAGTTATCGGAGCTCTGGGAGTTATGAGTCGTTTCCCGCTCTCAGATCTCAGTCTGTGCGCGCGTGTATTCCCCATGCCTTCGTTTATTTTGCTTGGTGCTTGGTTTCTTGTTTCGCTCGCTCTCGAGTAACGGCTGTAAAGCCAGTCGCCTGTGCGAAAGGCGGGACCGCCACCCCCCCCCCCCCCCCCCCTACTCCCCCCTCTACTCTTTGCTTTGACGCCTCTTTGTTTATTTTTTTTTTTTTTTGCATTTCTTGCGTAGAAGTTTAGAGCTCCACGCGGGTTAGGTGTTTCCCGCCCGCTCATTTTATTTCTGAACAACTGGCTCGCCGACTGGCTCAAATGCGCTGACCGTAAACACTAAAGAAAAAGAAATAGAAGAACCGGGCCCCCATTCCATTCCCATTCCATTCCGGGCAAAAGGCATCTAATTCCATTCCCATTCCATTCCCCTCAACGCTGCCGCCATTCCATTCCCATTCCATTCCGGGGTCGCGAAAATTCGGAATGATTCCGGAATCATTCCAACTCCGGAGTGGCAACTCCGCAACACTGCTCAGGACGTCCACAACTGTCGAGCGCACTTCCGCATTCTTGACGGTGTCGTCATGAAGGTATTCAGACAGGGAATTGAGCTTGCTTTCCATGTTGCACATGAAGTCGGCGATGTACATCAGCGAACCTCCAACTTCCCTGCGGACTTCTTCGAAGTGGCGTCTCAGAGCCGCGTCTGCCGACGACGCATTTTTCTCCGATTGAACAGCGTCGCTGCTGCACTTCACGTTGTGCATTGCCATGTCCGCTCGCTGAACAGATGCGTAGCACTTGAAGCACTGCACGACATGGGAGGGACACTTTGAGTAAAAATGGTTCACCATATCGACGAGCATCCCTTTGAAAGTGCAGCCGTGTCGACGGTTCCAGCACCAGACCAGGCGGTCTGCCACGTCTTCCAGAGACGTGGAGAGACGTTCGACTTGGCCCTCATCGAAGGTTTCCCGGTCCATGGGGCAGCGCCTCTCAGCTCTTTGGTAGCATGTGTCGCACAGGGCGTGTCGACAAGGCAGCACTCGAACCTCCCTGGGAATGACGCAGCACGAGGAACATACCTTCAACGGATTCGGCGGACTGTCGAATTCCAGAGGCCTCCAGTCCCAGTCGTAAGCGAAACCCGCCAAAGGGTACGCCTTGCTTTGTTCCATACCACAGTTTTCGAAACGCAGAACCGTGCTGTTGTTGGCGACGAAGTCGCAGTTCCACGGACAGACACAAATGATGTCGAAAGGCTGTGGGGAGCACCGACCGATATTGTTGACGGCACTATCACAACATAAATTCAATCGCTGCACCGCTACACCGCTGCGTTGATGCCGGCAAACTTTCGTAGGCAAGTGAGTGAGCCGCGCGGTGCGGCGTCAGCGGCTTGGCCTTGGCGTTGCAATCTCGAGTCCGGGGAGGGGGAAGCGGTAAGCAGACACGCACAGGGGAGCGGATACGGCCGATGCGGCGGTGCAAGGCGGCGTCGTTTTCGTTGCGGCGGATTGCCCTCAAGTTATGGCGGCTGTCAAACTCGAGTGCCTCGAGCTTCGAGCGAAGATTCGCTCGCGCTCGTATGTTGGCTCGTATTTGGGCTCGTATTTTTGTTTGTATGACGTAAATTTTGTTCGTGGCATTTCCAAAGCGGAATGGATGAATAAATGAAAACTGGCGAACCCTTTTAATCAGGCGGCGGCTTGCGCCACCTAGCCAAGGCATCTAGTTTTCAACAATTAATTAATCCACAATTAAAAAAGCGCGCGGACCAGCGCCCTTTACGACGGCAAGTCCTTCAATCATCCAATTCACGTGCGCTCTTGAAGCCCATACGAGCAACCGGCGCGGTTGTTTGTATGTCCAGCCCCGGACAAGTCGCTTCTTCGGATTGGAAGCGTCCGAAAATTCTCCAATTCACCACTCATTCCTTCGTTGGGTGTATTTTTATGGCTCGCGGTTTTTTTTCTTCTTAAAACCTTGAAAGAAATAACACCCCACGCACACGTATTAATAATTAAAAAAAAGCAGCCATTCTGTGACAAAACGTAAGCACGTGCGAAGAGCACGAGGTGTATTTGTAGCTTTTATTTGTTCTTTATTTATGAACTCTCTCTCTCTCTCTCTCTCACACACACACACACACACACACCACACACACACACACGCGCGCGCACACACACACACACATCTATATATTGTGGCGGGTATACTTGACGTTGTCCCCTTCATCGTCTTTCAGCATGGTGGCCGAGGAGGACGAGGCCCGCGTGGGCTTGAACTGGATGCGCGGGCAGAGCCGCGCTCATTGTTTCGAAGTGCGAACATAAAAATGGTCGTCGGCCCTTGATCTTCGTCTCATATATTGGTGAAGTGTGCCGTGTTAGCCCATCCCCGTCCCATCTTGCGAGCGCTGGTCCTCAGTCCTGGAGTTGAGGAACCGCAGACTGCCAACCACTATGACATCACAGACAACATCCAGCGGAACTAGCCAGAGTCCCCAGTCCATCGCCACAAAAGCGCCAAGGCAAAGCAATGACCAAGCGCCGATTGCCACATGAGTCTTTGTTAACTTGTCTTTGTTATTTGGGTGACATTATTGTCTTCTCTCGCACTTTTGAGGAACACTTAGACCGCCTCGTCGAGGTTCTTACGTGCCTAAAAACGGCAGGATTGTAGCTTAACACAAAATAATGCCATTTTGCTGCTCATCAAATTAAGTCTCTTGGTCACCTCGTTAGTAAAGAGAACATCAGACCTGATCCAGACAAGGTGCTCGCTGTTACGGCATTTCCGACACCACGCAATGTCAAACAGGTCAGGATTTTTCTTGGCTTGTGCACCTACTTCCGCCGTTTTATTCCTTAGTTTGCTCGCATAGCTGCTCCTCTTACTTGTCTTCTTCAAATCATGTCTAATTTGTGTGGTCTCCCGAATGTGAACGCGAGTTTAGTGCCCTGATGACAGCCCTTAAGTCCGACCCAATACTTGGTCACTTTAATGAAGCAGCACGAACAGAGCTACACACCGACGCCAGTGGCTACGGGCTCGACGTCATTTTAGTTCAGCGTCACCCCGAAACGTCGCACGAATACGTTGTCGCCTACGCCAGCCGTTCCCTCTCCAAAGCAGAAAATAACTATACAACAATACAAAAAGAGTGCCTGGCCGTCGTTTGGGGCATTAACAAATTTCGACCGTACTTATATGGACGCCATTTCACAATCGTCACCGACCATCATGCCCTTTGTTATCTCTCTTCACTTAAGAACGTAACGTGACGCCTCGGTGGATGGATACTGGCATTACAGGAATACACCTTCACAGTTGCTTACAACCTTAGTAAGAACCATATAGACGCAGACGGACACTCACGCTGTTTTGTCGAGGGTCCAGAGGAATGTCTAGATCATATAGATGTGGCTTTTGACCTAGCTTCACTTCATACAATCGCATTCTCAACCGAACAACCGAAAGATTCTTGCATTTGGGGCATTCTTGGGTATTTAGAACGACCAACCGATCTCTTCGATAAGGCACTTCAAAAGAAAATGCAGTACTTTTCATTGCGTAATGGAATCTTTTATCGCCATAATTTTTCTCCAGATGACAATCGATGGCTTCTCATTGTTCCAACGCACCTCCGGCCTGGCCTTCTTCGCGCTTTCCATGACGACCCTACGGCCGGCCATATGGGATTTGCAAAAGCATACGCACGTATCAAACAGCGCAATTATTGGCCGAAACTTTATGACACTGTCTTTGGATTCATTTTGAAAAACAGCGCCTCGTCCTGTGTGTTCCTCCTTCTTGTCCGTGTGGTATTCTCGCTGTTTTTCAAAATGAATTTATACCAACTCGCCCAACTTTCCATTCTACTGTCTTTGGATACGTACAACCATGTCTCCAACGTCAGAAACGCAAGCGCCCCACGAGCGGTCCCACAGGATTACTCCAACCTTTTGTTTGCCCAGATCGTCCGTTTGAACGCGTTGGCATTGACCTCTTCGGACCATTCCCACCCTCTGCCCAAGGGAATCGTTGGATAGTCACCACAGTCGACTACTTTACCAGGTACGCTGAAATGGCTGCACTCCCAAATGCACCCCCTAAAGCTAAGCCAGATTTTTGTTTTTATTGCGAACATTTCGCTACGCTGCGGGGCGCCGAAATAGTTTTTTAAGCGACAGAGGCCGTCAGTTCTTATCCCAAACCGTAGAGGCCATCCTAAAGTCTTGCAACTTCGTGCATCCATGCCACCTCTCTCTATCACCCTCAAACCAAAGACTGACTGAACGCTTCCATAGAACCCTCGCGGATATGATAGCAATGTACACCGCTTCATTCGCATACAATACCGGACAGTAAGACACCACTGGTTTCTCTGCCTTCTGCCTTCTTTATGGATGCGAAGCATCGTGTAACATGGACATTATCTTCCCTTCTTCAGCGAGTGATCAGGATGCCCTTCTCATGCAGCTGACCTGCCGCGCCGAGGAGTGCCGCCAACTGGCCCAACTTCGAACTGCTCAGCAGTAGCATACCGCGAAAACTCGCTATAATTTGCGGCATACAGCCACAACTTACGCACCAGGAGATTCATATATTTAACAAATTAAGCAGAGAATAGTGACAAAACAGAGAGAGGCACTAACATTTATCAACATCCTTCGAAAACCATAATTTCGGCATTAGCACATGTTTATTAATGTGCTATTAATGTTTATTTCCTGTTGTACAGAAGGAATTGTTCTTCGAAGTTTTTGTCGCTTAGCCTTCCCCTTTGTGCAAAACATCTTGTTCCATCTCAAAATGCGCTTAGCAAATGCTAAAAAAAAAATAACAACATTCAAACGTGTAAAAAAAATGAAAGAATTATCTGTAATGCCGAATTAGAGCGCAGCTTTTGGGGAGGAGGAGGGGATGGTACGGAGGGGAGAGTATGCCCAAATACTTTACTAGGGGGAATGCATTCCACTCCGCTCATTTGCATTAGACAGAACGCCTACAGCGCCGAATCCAGCCCTGACGGAGGGTAGTACCGCGTCAGTCCACGCGCATGGGCACGTGGATGTTCGCGGCGGCCGCGGCGGTGTCGTCTCCGACTCCACCTAAAGCCCCTTCATGTTTCAAAAGTATAGCGCAAGGTGCGTTGATGCACGAGGCACGTGCAACGTGCGTATGTTATTTCACCGATGTGCGGCATTAGTATGGTGTAGTTTTGGAATTTGTATTCTATAAAACAGGAAACACTATTGTTATTTTTTTAAGGCGCTACCGGCTGTTGGTCAGCAAAGCATTTTGTCTTTAGTCTGATTATTTGGCTCTGGAGAGCCGCAGCACCGCGGAAAGGCAGCAGTTCGTACCATGGAGGCCCATGGTACGAACTTGCACGAACCGTCTTGCACGTATATACATGGAGTATATACGTGCAAGATGACGACGACATGGATTGTTGGTATTTGGGAGGACGGCAGTCCAATTCGCAGAAGTCCAGATTTCGTGGAGGCGGGTTGGGCGGATCAGCAGCGAGCCATAGGGATCTGGCACGCCGTTCGATCGGTGCATGAAGGAGCCCCAGGAACATGTAGCACTGTTGCCCACTGGGGTCCATTGCGGTCGAAGCATCAGGTTTCAAGGTGGTAGCCCAGTCAAAGTAGAAGCTGCCGCCTCCGAAGAACCGAGGCCCAGGGCTAAGATTCAGGCACCGCCGTCACCCGGTGTGTCGTCCTCTCAACGTCGTCGTCGTTGTGTTCTTTATTTATACGCGTATAGGGAGTATTCACTGGACGCCATATTTGTGGGTGCTGTTTAGAGCGCATGCTCAGAACGAGCTGGCATCACTAAGCTGCTGAGACAGGCAGTATCGATGGTGTGGAATGCACGCTGCAAAAGAACTGTGGAAGCTCGCCGTCAGCACGCGCTCATCAGCCGCGCACACAGATATGTCCGCCAGTGAATACTCCCTATATATGTATAAATAAAATAAGATAGATAAAAAGACACAATCTAACGGCCAGCGGCGCGCGCACCGGGCACTGTCTTTGAAGGAAAAAGCCAGTCTCAATATCAAGAACCACCATCATCATCATTCACCGCCCGGTAGCCGAGACCTCCCCGACGATAGATGGCTCTCGCCAAGCATAGAAGACCTGTCCGCGCCGAGGCTATTGTATTTTCGACGAGTGGAATGTATTCCCCCTAGTAAAGTATTTAGTATGCCCATCCTCCCCATCTTCCCCCTCCCCTCCTCCTCTCCAGCTCCCCTCCCATTTAACGGGGAAAATTTCCGGCTAAATTTAGCAGGGAAATTTTTCTGCTAAATTTGGCGGGAAAAATTTTCCGCTAAGTTTTTCCACCAAATTTAGCGGGGAAATTTTTCCATAATCCGCGTGAACATAGCTTTGGCAAGCTTGCAATTGCGCGGTCTTGTCCGCACGAGCAGAGACATTACGACGCTCGCCTTGCTTACAATCCTCTATAACAGCCTCCTATTGGGGAGGAGATCGAACAGTCACGCCACTAGCGGCATGCTGCAGCTGTGTGGACAACAAACCTAATTTTATTGTTTGTTGTTGATCAGAGAAATCGAAGATGACGATTCGAAGGCCGCTCCTCGTGCGTCCAAAGCACTGTTCAAAGCGAAGCGGTCGTGCCCAGACCATGCTAGGCGAAGTTCAATTTCTTTGTTTTGCTGTGTTAGTAAACACCGCGCTGTGGGGAAAACAAGCTCATAAAGCGCCCCCAATAGTTCGATCTCCTGCCCAATATACTAGGGTGATCAGTGGCCGAGTGGTCTAGCGCACACCAGCTCGGAGCGCGTGGAGCGAAAGCTCGCGCTGCAGAACCCAGGGATCCTGAGCTCAATCCCCGCCCCTGCCCGTTTCGATCTGGATGAGCATTGTACCGGCGTGCGGTCGTGTATCACTACTGCGTGGTGCTCGTTGAAGACCCCAGGTTAGCGGTTGTAGCGCACTGGCTAAATTGCTCATCTACAGCTGAGACACCAGACGCCCACTAAGGCAGACTAACTTCCGGCTGTATAAACATACACACAACGATTTGCTTTGCCCCTATATACTGACAAAGCCTGGCAGATCACCACGAGAAGCGGCCGCCGAAATTAAAAAAAAATTGGAGCGGCTGACAACAGATGAGAGGAGAGCCACGTGACTGGCGCCCTGCTGCGGCGAGACGCCAAAACACACTTCTCCCGAGCGAACAAGCGTGCTTCGGGTCCTCGCCGCTGCAAAAGCTGTGCGCTGACATCCATGTTTCTCAAGAAATGGCTCTTTTATGCTCCGTGCTACCAGATCCTCGCGCTCCAAATATGCCACCAGGCACTCTATGACTCTGTCGTCGAACTGCCAGGCTTTGTAAGTATAGAGAACACTATGCCTCCATAGACGATTCCATTTAGCGCTCTCAGGGCGGCGCCATTTCGTTCGAGCGCAGCGCCCTCTCCACACATCCGGGAAGTTCAGCAGGTTCTGCGGGGTAAAACGAAAGAGAGGGCACACGCCCGAGTCCGCTAGCAGACAACAAACCGGGAGGTTCCCGCTCTCCATCTTTGGGCTGTATCGGCGGGCTGTACCGAACATCGAACTTTCGCTCGTGGCTGCCGTTGTGAAGTGGTTCGCGTTCTTAGAATATTTATAGCCACTCCAAAATCAGCCGATAGCGCTCTGTTGCTTCATTTCAGGATCAACTAGCATATCTTTATTCCGTTACTTCATTAGCAGTGGAGTCAGCCGGTAGTACTACCCTCAACCACTGCGTGTATTGCATAAGGAGTGCACATTTTTATTTAATATTCCATACTTCCACTCATTGTCGCTAAAGGCCTACAGCAGTCCGAAGTTTGTATAGTAAAACAACCACAGCAACCGGATTGACTTTTCGCCTGAGGACCGGCCACTCTGACACAATTTTCCCATTTCTTTGCTTATTGGCACGCAGGTAACAGCGCCATTGTGCCCGGTTAGTTTTTTTTTATCGAGTATATACATTACACGATAACTTGCATAATAAAATACGCGCATCTGCGCTTCAAATTTCTAAAATGACGCGATTTTAAACCGAGTTTGAACGCCAGCCGGATGTTAGGTACGGCCCACTCGGCGGAGCAGACGACGCGCGGAGTGAGAGGGGGAGGGCATTTTTTCTGTCTTCGCTCTTCATAGTGGAACGGTCTATAGAAGCCAGCAGGGTTATGCAGCGCGAGCTTTTGGTCCACGTGCTCCGAACTTTGGTGCGTTAACACGCTAGGCCACCGACCAAAAGCGCAGCACGTTTTTGGCATATCTACATTAATGTAGATCCATGACAGTAGCATTGCAGTAATCCTCGGGCACTGGCACACGCGTACGCAATCACTGAAAGGGAAACACCCTATTTCGGGTAGCACGTCCAAGGTGAAAAATCCCGAGAAGGACTGAACCTGTCCGCGAATGCCTTGACGCTGGCTGTCGTGACTTGGTAGGCACGGGCTTGTAGCATCCCCAAGTTAATCCCATAGCTTGGTGAGGACTCTTTGGAAACCGTCACAACTGCCAGTAACCTTTTCCCGAGAAGAGGTTCATGCACACGCGCGCTCTACTTCATTCTATTTACCATATTAGTAACAGCAATATAACGTTATGACGAGCGATTGCTTGACTTAATGAAATGGACCGGGTTGCTTGGATTGTTTTAGAAAGCACACTCACTGCGCGGGGAAAGGTTACTCGCGCGGTATAACGCTGCTTAACGAGAAAATAATTTAATAATAGATCCGGGAAAGTTCCGCGATTATGTGACTTCATTGGAAACACGCATTTGTATAAAGGAAAAGGTTCGCCTGCTCATGTGATTGTCGTGAGGGTGGTTGTGACTTACTTATTTGAAATTATGAACCCCGATGTAAAGTACCAGAGAATCCAGGATGTGCATCCTCTGTTGTGCCTGTCGTTTGGTGTAGGTCCAGTCTTCCAGCTGCGTCGGTCTCATCTCGCTCGATAGCGAGTCCCACGCGTCTAGTCTGAAGGCATCTAGGCCCTTGGGGTTCGTGTCTCATCAAATACTTTACTAGAATGATATATTCTACTCCCCTCATTTGCATTAGACAGCCTTCCTGAACGGCGTGGATAGCCAGCGTCCGAGAGAGCGGTTACTAATCGCGCTGTCCACGTTGTGTCGCTTTTGTGCTGCGCCGAGGGAGAGGCCAGCATGCCGCCACTTATCTCGTGCTTCCCCGCGTGGTCGCTGCCACGCGAGTGCGGCCACCGGAAGTTCCGTATCGGCGATTTTAGGCCACAGGAAAGTTAGCCGGGTGAAGCGTTGCAGAGGCTGGGCAGCAGCGTGGCACAAGACACGTTTTCTGCTCGTTCGCCATCACTTGCCGAATAAGTGCACTTAGATAAAAAAAAAATAATAATAATGCTATAAACTACACTGTAAAAAAAATTGTGTAAAAAAACAAAACAATTTGACAGCTAGCCTGCCAAAATATTTCTGTAAAGCTCTGTTCTTAATTTTTATGTTATTTACATACTTTTTCTGTAAAATAACATGGTCCCGCAAAAAAAAAAAAAAAAACATAGCGGCTGGCAAGCTGCTCAACACTTAGCTTATTGAATTAGGCGGCAGCTTGCGCCACCTAGGAGGTGTAGTAGTAACCGCTAGATGCGCTAAAAAAAATGTCTTTTTATTTCAGATTTTGCGAGACAACCACTCATACCAATTGCTCATATACACCAGCACACACACAGTACGAACACCAACCAATAGGCCATATGCAAAATCCTTGCCAGCTATCATCATCATGCCATTAGGAGCCGCCATATTGGGGGGTTTATCACATCTTCCAGTTGTGAACGAGGCGCATCTCCATTTAACTCGGTTTTCATGATATTAGGGCAGTTTATTCGTACACTCAACGGGTTGCTGGTTAGTTTCGGTTCAAAGAAGAAAAGAAAGACGGCCGCAAAATTCTGGAAAAGGAATTGTCAACAACGAGGTTGCAAGACTCGATAACACACACCACAGCGCACTATAGCAAATAACACTCACACCTTACACACGAAAAATAAAGCAAAATTCAAACAAACCGCGCTGACTGACAACTCTTTTTATATAACTTTGTCTTCTTCAACCTCTAGCACCACCGAATTTCCCAATTCACGCGCACCGATCTCCTAGATGCCTAAAAATGTTTTCTCTTTTTCTGTCAGGTGTAAAGATGGTGTACTTATACAGTTGTTATAGTTCCTGGCGATATGTTCTGCTTCGATAATTTCTCGAGTTAATTGGTTTCTGTTCCTGCCTAAAATTGTACAGGATGGCAAGTGAACGTCGCACCCACAATCCCGGCAGTGTATGCCTAGATGCCCTGAGTTGGCTCTGGGGCTGTTGTTGTTGTGTTCCCGGAGCCTATCGTTAAGGCATCGTCCGGTCTGACCAATGTACACTTTCCCGCACGAAAGGGAAAATGAGTACACCACTTCATCGGCACACTCAACGAACCTGTTCTGATGGTTTTTGGTGCAGCATACTGTTCGGTGGAAATCAGGTGAGTTGACTTGTTTACACAAGTTGCCAAGCTTATTGGGAGCAGTAAAGACGACAGTGATATCGAAGCAGAACATATCGCCAGGAACTATAACAACTGTATAAGTACACCATCTTTACACCTGACAGAAAAAGAGAAAACATTTTTAGGCATCTAGGAGATCGGTGCGCGTGAATTGGGAAATTCGGTGGTGCTAGAGGTTGAAGAAGACAAAGTTATATAAAAAGAGTTGTCAGTCAGCGCGGTTTATTTGAATTTTGCTTTATTTTTCGTGTGTAAGGTGTGAGTGTTATTTGCTATAGTGCGCTGTGGTGTGTGTTATCATGTGCAACCAACTCGCCCAAGCTGCTACGTTGCAAGACTCGACACTCAAGCAGTGAACTGGGCCATCCAGGTCTATGAACGGTATTTCTTGAAGGCGTCCTGTGAAGGGTTTGTACTGGACTTGCAGCAGGTGATCATATTTTAGTTCTACGACTTCCACTTTGCCGGGACTATTGTTTCCCAGGCGAAACGATCGGTACGGGAACCCCCCAATATGGAGGAAATCTGATAATTGATCACGAATACACAAGATGGCGCTTCTTTTCGCATGTGGTCTATACCGAACACTGTTACAGGCACATACAATGTATGGGCCTGTAACAATGAGGCATAGGCAACTCCAACACAACACCTCCGCGACTCTCTGCTCTAACCACCCTACCGACCCGATTCGTATATATATGCCCTATCATTTTCTGAGAACCATTCGGCAAGTAAGTGCCGCTGTCTACTGGATGAATACAAAGAGTATTTGGAAGTATTATATTCATTTATTTACATGCCCTCAAGGCGCTGGGGGCGTTACAGAGGGGAGTGAGGAAAAAAAAAAAACTTTAATAGAAGACATTATGGTCACGGGTAACTTTCGCAAATATAATTAGTAACAGCACTTTTAAACACATCTAACGAGGGTAATAATATTAATGACGCCGAAAGGTGGTTCCACTCTGATGATGTCCTAGGAATGAAAGAATCGTGATAGGCTGAGGTTCGAGAATGAGGAACGCCGACTTTGTACCGATGATCAATGCATGGAGAAGCGTAAGGTAGGTCGAGGAAGAGCTTCTCTTTCAGAATGGGGTTAGAATTGTATATTTTATAGAAAAGACATAGACGAGAACACTTACGGCGCAAAGAAAACAGTGGCAAGAAGAGAAGAGATTTCATGGATGATACACTTGCTGTACGGTGATAATTATTAAGTATGAAACGAGCGCCGCGGTTCTGAACTGACCCGAGATGAGAAGTGAGCGTCGTCAGACCAGGATCCCAGATTGAAGCTGCGTACTCTAATTTTGAGCGAACCAAAGATTTGAGTAATATTAGTTTGAGAGAAACTGGCGCTAGAGAAAAGTTACGTTTTAGGTAGCCTAACATAGAATTGGCATTAGCAATGTTGTGGTTAATATGAATATGCCAGGAGAGGTTAGAAGTAATAAGCAGACTGATGTATTTATATGAAGTCACACATTCTAAAGAAACGTTATCAAGATGATAGATAAAAGGTCAAGAACAGCATTTAAGTCGTTTTGAAGAAGGAAAGAGTCAGAATCATTAGTAATCTTACGATAAATAACGCAGTCCTCCGCGAACAAACTAAGCGATGATGAGACACACAACGGCAAGTCATTGATGTAAATGAGGAATAACAAAGGACCTAGAACGGAGCCTTGAATGACGCCAGAAGTAACAGAAGACACTGGAGAATTAGAGTTATTTACATGAACAAACTGAGAACGATTTGTAAGAAAACACTCAATCCAAGTTAGTATCTGAGGGTCAAGGTTGAGTTTGCTAAGCTGGAACAGTAGTAGTTGGTGAGAAACTTTATCAAATGCTTTGCAGAAATCAAGAAAAATACTGTCAACCTAGGATCCATGATCAAGTAATGAAAATAAATCGTTAGTAAAGACGAGAAGTTGTGTTTCACAATAAAGAAATTTACGAAAGCCGTGCTGTGCGGACGAGAAAAAAGAGTTGGATTCGAGATATTTAACAAGATGTGAATAAATAATATGCTCTAACATTGTACAAGGAGTACTGGTTATGGAAATGGGTCTATAATTGTCGGGGCAGTGTTTGTCGCCTGATTTATGAAGTGGAACCACCTTGCCAGTTTTCCAATCTTCAGGAAGGACACCAGTAAGAATAGATTGCTCACAAATCTTAGTAAGAAAAATTGCACTGTAAATTTTAGTATTCTTTAGAAACTTAGTGTTAATATTATCAATACCACATGATGAAGACACTTTGAGGTTGTTAATCAGCTCAACAATGCCATAAAAATCAAACACAAGCAGGTCCATAGGAAAGAAATCATGATTAGGGTAAGTAACAATAGAACAGCTTACGTCCCTAGACAAGGATTGTAGAAACACCTCATTGAGGACTTTTGCAGAGTCATCGTTAGACATAACAATGCCATCAGAGTCATAAAGCAAAATAACCTTGTCTTTCTTGCCATTAATAACGCTCCAAAACATTTTGACACTAGTTGATAACAGACGGGGCAAGGTTTGGCTGAAAAAAGGTTGTTTAGCGTCCTTAATTGCATTTCTGTATACATTTTCTGTGTTGTGGTAAACCGCCCAGCGCTCAACAGTATCTGTACGCTTAGCAGTGCGGAACAAGCATTTCTTTTGACTTGGAAGTCTTTTCAAGGCACTATTAAACCATGGGGACGTGGAGCTATTAGTAGGAAAGCGACGTGGGACTAAAGAATTGATAAGGGAATTGACTTTATTTTTGAACATTGTCCAATTAACCTCGACAGAGCGTTAAAAAAATTGAATAGGAAAAAGTCAAGGAATTGCGCCAACTCGCTGTTTATAGCCTCAAAATCATCTTTGCCATAATCAAAAAAAGAGTCATTCTTCGCTTTTGTAAAGGCAGATACAGGAGCTTTTAGGTGGAAGTGAACAGTGGATCGCTGATGGCAGGTAAATACGTAAGAGAGAATGCAAGATCAGGCGCAGTAGAAAGAATAAGGTCCAGCACGTTCTCAGAAGTTGGCGTAACACGAGTCGGCCTAGTAACTATCTGCGTTAAGGAAAAATCGGAGCAGAGACTTAAAAACTCGGAACACGCAGCAAACATAATGATATGGTAGGATATAGACCAGACCAGTCAATGCCGGGGAGATTAAAATCGCCCAAAAGAAGCAAAGGCAAGGCCGGAAACCTTGTACGAATTGTATTCAGAGAATCGTGTAAATCTATAAAAAAAAGTTTGCTGCGGCATTGGGAGGACGGTAGCACGCGCACAAATTAACCTGTTTATTGCTAAAACGCAAGCGCAAGCCAATAAACTCAAGGGATGTAACAATGTTGGCAAGACAAAACTCAATACTATCGTTTACCGCGATTATTACACCACCACCACGCCTAGATAGCCTATCGCATCGGTAAAAAGAGAAACGTTTCTCGGAACAAAAAATTTCGCTCTCACGTACAACACTAGATAGCCAAGTTTCAGTGAGTACAACAGTCTCGGCGAGTGAAGAATCGATGGCTGAAGACAAGTCATCACAATTGCGAAGAACACTTCGAATGTTTGTAAAAAAGTACTGAAAGATAAGGACTAGAGTTGTTCCGTATCAGGTTATGTAATTGTGATGACGTTGACAAAGCCACCTCAGGGTCAGCATTAACACGAATGGAACTCGTGCTCGGCGTGATATAATCGCGGACCTCACAAACGGCATCGCTGGCCGCGCAGTAAGAAAAACATTTGTCGTCAAAAAAACACTTTGTTGTAGCGTAGACTAAAATACTGTGTATGAGCCTTAGCGAATTCGAGCAGCTTTCTTCTAGCAAGACGAGTGGCAGGGGAAAAATCCTCTGCGACGGAAGTGGCACTACCGCGCAGTTTGCCTCTCGAGGAAAAAACATGGTCTTTCGTTTTGAATAATGACAATTTCACTAAAACTGGCCGACATTTACTGGGGTTAAAAACACGACCAAGTCTATGTGCACGAATGATACTCTCCGGGGGAACGATGATTGTCATTTCGTTTGCAACGACATCACGCACTTTGCTTTCAGATACAGCCCAGGTCTCAGAGTTTGAGTCGGGAACACCGTAAAATATTAGGTTATCTCTTCGAGACCTGTCCTCGAAATTCACCAAGACGTGATCGTAGATTGGCGTTCTCGCGTGACAGGAAGGTTACAGTTTCTTTCACATCTGTCAACTCACGCTCCAAAATATCCAAACTGACTATATTTTCTTCCACAGTACTAAGCCTCCCTTGATTACCGGTTACCATTAGTTCAATTGACTCTTGCCCAGTCTTAATAGCTTGAATATCCTCCATGATTCGGGTCTGTCCAGCTTCAAAATTTGCCTGACGAGCGTTTAAGCCTCTCAGTAAAACAAGCATCTCACTCATCTCTTTTCTCTGAACTTCTTTCTTATCTGGGCCAGGATTAAGTTCAATATCACCAGACAGGAGAAGCTTCAGACCCGAAATACACTCGCAAGAACATAAAAACAGCACTTGTGGGCATGGGAACACCAGTAGACAGAGGTAGTTGGACTTTTTACAATGCAAAGAGGGAAACGGACCAACCTGTACGAAGAAAAAGCAGAAAGCGTTAGCTGAGTGCATGGCTGGCTGTTCCACATGCCCACTGAAGGGCCGAGGGGCGTTCCGCCAGTTTAAGTCCAGTGACGATGTGAATGTTGATGCCGTTGGACTGCTGTACTGAGGCGACGCGACGATTGGAAGTGCAGCAGAAAACCAAGGTTGCCAGGAGGAGTAGATGTCTGGCTGTGGCAGCACGGAAACTTTCGGCGAACGCGCTCCCTCCAAGGCATACCACGGGCTTGTTAGGGCCGGACAGCCGCGAAACATCGCCGTGAACTGTACGAAGTAAAAGCAGAAAGCGTTAGCTGACTGCATGGGTGGCTGTTCCACATGCCCGCGCCACTTTATGTATACAAGTCCTCTGTGTTTTTAAATTGGCAGGCTAGACACCTCTCATAATCTAGCGCTTCGATGTGCAACATGATATAAACGTAATCGGCTAAAGTAACACCGCACGGCATGCTCCCGATCAGTTTCGTTTTCAGATTCACGCAGTGATAAGCTTTTACTCAAGCCATGTTGCCCCATCCTCGTTTCGCGCGTGTGATTGCAACACAAGTTACAATATCTGTTACAATTGAAAACGAGTGTGTTGGTTGATAGAAACAAAACTTGAAAGTGTAAAACAGCGAGGACGAGGATGGGAACAGGACATCTTTCATTTAGCAACAACATAGAATGGCACAACGATAAAACCGCACCCCCCCCCCCCCCCCAAAGGTTTCAGCGTTCTCAAAGAGGGAAAGGAGATAATTGTTATAAAGGAAAGGAAATTTACTGTAAATATAAAAGTTTCAAAAGCGCTGGCGTCACGACGAGGTATCACTAATCTAGTTATCTCTGATTACTTAAAATTCGACCTTTGTCATTGTCAATGATAATTAAGGTGCAGTACATTTCCCCTTTGGGACTGTAAACAGCAATATTTCTGCACCTTCATTATCATTGACAATGACAAAGGTCGAACTCTAAGTAATCAGAGATAACTAAATTCGTGATACCTTGTCGTGACGCCAGCGCGTTTTAAACTTTTATATTTACAGAAAATTTCCTTTCCTTTATAACAATTATCTCCTTTCCCTCTTTGATAACGCTGAAACCTTTGGGGGGCGGTTTTATCGTTGTGTCATTCTATGTTGTTGCTAAATGAAAGATGTCCTGTTCCCGTCCTCGTCCTCGCTGTTTTATACTTTCAAGTTTTGTACAATATCTGCATTCCTAGTCAGTAGTCGGCTAAATGTAACATAATTCTTAGTCTTGTGCTGTCCAATTCGTCATTTTCCCCCTTCAATTCAGTGCTTGAGAATAGGTGAATTAATTGTAGCGGGTAAACGCTGGCGACACGCTTTCCCGTGTTGGTCGCGTGATCGATGAGTTGCCCTACTCGCTCCACTTTACAAGCCCCTAAATTAAATATGAAGAGCTTATGTAAAAAACGTATTGGGGTACAGTTAGATAAAAAAAAAGAACTAGCATAGCCGATATATATATATATATATGTGTGTGTGTGTGTGTGTGTGTGTGTGTGTGTACTGCATTCGGAGAACATATAAACCCCTATCAAATTATTTTAAATCTTTCAGTCTTCTGTAGACAACAAAGGGTTGGTAGGTGTCGTACGAAAATGTAGTGATTCTCTGATGGTGAGGCGACGATGTTGGTGGTTCGACGATCAGGCTGCTACTTGGCGGCAGGAGACATCTAGGAAGGGCCGGTAAAGCGGCAGGGCTATGGGATGCCCTGACGGGTGACGATGCAGAGGTGATTGAATTTTAGTTTTAGGTTTAATGAATCATAGAGCAGAACATCAAAGCTGAAGAACACGAACGGCGAAAGAGGCGAGAGTTCGGGCTCGGGTTGGCGCTTAGAACAGCTCAAATAGCGTCCGTGACGACGCACCAATCTAGTAAAAGCCAATTACTACACCGCTACTGAACTGGAGCCCGCTACTGAATTAGTAAGTTAACGGGCTACGCACGTACAGCCGGGAGATCGCAGCAATGACGGTGTAACTTATGTCAGAAATAATCCAAATGGGAAAACCGACGTCCATAAACAACCGCTACCCGCATCCATCTTAAAAAATAAGCTCCGCAGTCCGCACCAAAATTAAGACCGAAGAAGACAATGCACGCGTTAACCTTTGCACTAAAATTACACATAAATATAGTTTTATTCTTTAAATACACGAACAAATAATCAATGCGTTAAATACGTTTTAAGAACCGCATTTGGTGAAGGTATTTTTTGTAGGACAACAGAAAATGTCTATACAAATGCTTGTAATTTCACACACATTTTTTACAATGAGGCCCTTGGGGCTCGTGTCTCAACAAATACGTACAAGAATAATACATTCTATTCCCCTCATTTGCATTAGATAGCGCGCCTACAGTACGAAACCCGCGTACTGTAGATAGCTGCAGTGCCCGAGAGAACGGTTGCTAATCGCGCTGTCCACGTTGTTGCGCTTTTGTGCTGCGCCGAGGAAGAAGCCTGCATGCGCCACCCATCTCGCGCTTCCCCGCGTGGTCGCTGCAACGCGAGTGGGGCCACCGGAAGTTCCGTATCGGCGATTATAGGCCACAGGAAAGTCAGCCGGGTGGAGCGTTGCAGGGGCTGGGCGGCAAAAACGTTTTCTGCTCGTTCGCCATCATTCGCCGAATAAGTGCATTCATATAAGAGATAATAATGCTATAAACTACCGCACTGTAAGTGAAACGCCTAAGGACAGGGACAGCAGAAAATAAATGCAAACGTTTTTATCTACATTCCTCTGTTTTCTCTGTCCTCTGTTCTTTCCCATTTTTACCTATTTTCCTCTGTCCCCGTGTTTAGGCGCTTTATGTCCAGAATGTACAGCCAACTAGCGCAACTTCCGGCATATATAAACTACAACAATGGTGCCAAAACCTAAACTAACGTTCGATTTAGATACAATCAGCAAACATATTCAACTCACACGCGGTAATCAGAAATATCCAACGGTGTAGAGAGGTTTACATGGCAGTTGGCAGGCCACTGCCGCGGTCTCCATGTGAGCGTTGCCGGGGATAATTTACAACCACTTCGGCAAACGTGCGTATGACTTCCAAGGGATCAGGAGCCGTTGCGGACATTCTGTCCAAAAACTGTAGCGTCGTAGCGATGCATGTATGACATGTTGGGCATCTGGCGTCATACTGTCTCTCTTCTTGCTGTGGACGTAGTGATGTGGGTGGTCGTGGCCCTTGTGGCGTTCGGGTATCGTATGGTATCGCGTAGCAGTAATGTTGCGACGAGATCGGGTGAAGGTAGTAGTTCTTCCAAACCTTTTCCTTGGCGGGGTCGGATGCATCCAGCGAGCTCGAGTCGATCGGGACATTGGCTGAACGCGGTTCGACGCAACCGAGCGTCTTTTGCATCCTTATGACTTGTTCAGCTTTATCTTTGGTGGTGAGCTTTGGTTCACGTTTCGGTAGATTAGTCGTCTCGATTTCCTTGTCTTGTCCAGTTGGAGGCTGGTGGAAACAGCTCGGGGGAAACCGTCGTAGACACAAACTAGAACAAGCTGTCAATGCGGCTTCTTTCGTGGACTTGAAATCGCACGAGTTGGACAGATGAGAGTACAGTGTTCCGAGCGCACACACGAAGCCACAGCCGATCTTCTCATTGGGGCACTTCACAAGAAGCTCTAACGCGTCTTCCACGGGGGTCTTCAAGTATTGGATTTGGCTCTCTGTAAATGCGCACCCGTCGCGGGGGCAGAGGGAGGCTTGTCCAGGCGTCTGTAGTTCCCAGTGGCACCCGCGACACAGAATATCGGAGCAGGGCAGCGCTATAATTTCTTTGGTCACGGCGCCGCACGACGAACATGGGCGCACCCGCCTCCATCGTTGCTCACTTACAATCTTCACGGGCTCCCCGTTCCAAGCGCCCGGAAACCTTTTGATGGTGTAAATCCTGGACATGTTTTCTCTTTCCGAGCGGTCGAAAGGAAGTTGTTCAGCGTATATCTTCAAAAGAGGGGACTGACATCAGGTGATGATTTGAAGTGGGAACTGTGTGTGACTTTACCGCTCCCGGCGATAGCTTTGCGATTGCATTCTTCACCGAAATGGGCAGAAACAGATAAGGAAGTTGCAGACTGCAACGGCACCCCATGGGGGTTAGAGGAAAAAATAATCTATTCCAGATGCCAGATGTGACGTTTCTGAATCTTGTTTTAAGAAATGTTTGGGGTATCCTGAATTGCTAAAAATACACTCTTTATAATTTCTATCTATTGGAAAATATTTCACTCGAACACATCCAGAAGGGAGCCAGCGAGTATTTATAAATTAAATCGTGCATTTTTATAGAATTTGGGCTTTTTTAAATTCGTTTTTACTAGGATTTGTTACGCACATTTTTGCCGCGAAACAAATTGGGCGAGGGTAAAGTTTAGTGAAAGGTTAAAAATGTCTCGACATATATTTCCAGCTACTCGGTGGCGCCATCCGGTGAGTGTGTTCGTACTCTTTTGTTTGCGGAACCTGCCTCCGGCATAAAAGGCGCGTACTGCTCCCCTGCCGTTGCTATGCTGTGCTAGGAGGAGGAAGAAGCGAAAATTGGTGGTTTCTCGTTTCAGTCTACAGAGCCGAGTATGATCCGAGCGTGAACAGTCAAGCCACAAAATCAGACTGTGATCGCGAGCTTCTTTCGGCGTTTTATCGGAATAAATTTGTTTCTTTCGTATTGGTGTAGGCCGTGAGATTACGCTGGACAAAAGGTGCCCTCAACAACAAGATGTCGGGTGAGACATCACTCGATCCGCAATACACCATAGTGTAGTCGTAGAGGCACAGATGTCGCACCAAGTATACGAATGAGGGATCCATCCCTTCATTGGTTGAATTGATTGCGAGAAGATCGGCCTTGCCAGTGCATCGTGGCGGAGAACGCGAAGGCGCAAGCGCGGAATCTTCCGAGAATGTAAGGTTCATTCTATACGACCACATTTGCCTTCCAGAAAACGCGCACTTGTTTCGCGCAGCAGAGTTGGCTAGCCGAATACAGGACATAGCTTCCTGACACTCGATTGGGGCATTTGGTTTATACTGAAAACGAATTACGTGTTTTCCGAGCTATAGTCCGCAGACTGTATACATGTTTAAAAGTTGAAATTTTAGGCTGTGCGGACTATCTCCACCTGCGGACTATACAAGAATGTTGTTTTTCAAAATCGTTCATTATGACGAGACGAATTTTGTGAATGAAAGATTATGTTAATGATGATTTATGTATACTACATGCTTCTTTATGAGCTAAGAAGGCAGATATTTGTCAAGGTGTGCCGTTTGTTAGAAGATGTTCGTGTCGACTAAGTACCAGGTGCGAATTATGCACGGCGTGCGGACTATGCACTGGGTGCGGACTATCTAAGCTAAACGTTTATTTTTTGACCCCAAATTTGCCCCTGCTGATTATACACCGGGTGCGACCGGAAATATACGGTAAATAGTGCCAGTCCTCGTCGTATGCGTGCTTTTTCGTCCTTGATTTGTGCGCGTTACTAAATTGGTTTACAGGAAGTAGCTTTGACTCGAAATTTTACGCAAAATACCTACCGATATCTGGGCGAAAATAATTTTCTGGTATCTTGCATTTTTACTCGAGAAGGATTCTCAGGGAACACTGCAATTTTGATGTCATTATGTTTGGTCGACAGAACGCACCTGCATACATTAATACATATCAAGTTTAGTTTAATGTTTGCGGGGTTTATACGATTATTCGAGGATAAATTTAGAGTGTTTCACGTAAGAGTGACAAAAATTCCTACAATTAGTGTATTCCAGGTGAAACGATAAGTTTCTCGGGACCGCATTACTCATGGTGGCGGACGTCGGAAAATGCGCAATACTTAACTAAATACTACGAACAATTAATTTAGAATGACTAATTAACTTTTTAATTAGTGGAAATAGACATAAGGTTTAATTTAAAAACTTCCTGAGCGTCATCGGAAACCACTAAATCAGTCATTTTCAGAGGGACTTTGAGCGCGTGAGAAGCGTAGTAGTGCACTAAAACTACCACTCGTGTAGCAGGTACAAACAGACTTGTACGTAATCCGTTCAAGTAACACAATTACATGTAATCCCTTACCTTTATCAGTCAATTTGTAAGGGAATAATGACATATCTTACAAAGTAATTGTAGAGTAATTTTTTTACTTATTTACGTAAGGGAATCTTTGTAATCCGTTACATATTAGTTTTCATTCACAGAAAAAAAAGTGGGAATATAAGGCACCAACAACCATTATATCGTTTCTAAAAAAACCCTTTTTTGTAAGCTTAAGTTTTACCGCAATCACACTTTCAACTGGCGTTCTTTAGGAGCCGAAGACCTTTGATCACGTCACGTAAAACCTATATTTAAATCTTTCTTCTTCTTTTCTTTGTTCTTTCTTTTCTTAGCGGATCTATACGCGTCTTTTGTTTTTGTACCTTCCCATCCTTCTTCGCTGTCGAAGATGCGGAGAGGACAGAAAACGATCGTCGACTGCACGCCTTCCAAAATCTCGAGACAAGTAATATTTCCCTACTGGGTTATATATCTGACTAGGACAGTTTGCTTAATGTCACTACAGGAGGGGACGCTCCGTTTTCCGCTGAATAAACTTCAACACAAAAATCGACTGAAAAAGCTGCGACGTTAACTGGCATGCACCCATGTCACCATTTTCGTGCGTAATTTTTTTTGTACAATATTATAACACGTTGTTGGTAATATCTGGCAACTTTCAGCGATGGTGGTACCGCGGTGTGAGAATCACACACCCTAGCTCCTGGATGATCGGCTTCAGATTGAAGGTGCTTGCTTACACCTGCCAGACGTGGAAGTATGAGGTAAGATTCTTATACACCTCGTATTTCACAAAATTAGAAAGGCCGTTGCTGTAGGGGGACGCTGCCGTTGCCTCACCTGATATTTAGCTGAAGAACACTGAGCTGCGTTACGGCTGACCCGTGCTACACGCGTTTTGGACGGCATCAAGAAACGACAGGCACGGCACACGTGCGTCGTCTACATTTCCGTTTTAATCGACATTATATTTCTGTTTTCGGAGGGATCCCCTGATGTTCTTGCTGGTTATATATCCCAAAGCTCATCCTCTTATTCACCGACGTCTCAACCAGTGAACGACATGTGCTAAGAGCTAATGAAGGATTGTAATAAAAGCATATTCTATACTTTTATTGTTATGTGTAATTAGCGTGTATTTTCCTACCTACCGTTTGGCGATATTTGTCCGGCTCAGTTATAGTTACATAATATATTGTCACGAATGACAAGTGATGAGGCGACGAAAACTAAGGTAAACTAAACGTTTAATGAGGCGAACTTGTGCCCAAAACAAAAAGGAAACAGACGATGACAATAGAGAGTCGCGGACGTCGAAGTCGGCGTAGCAGCGGAATCGAACGCTGGGGCGAGACTGACTCGACAAGGTCGCGGGCGGCCTCTTATCTAGAGTGCGTCACTATCTGGAAGATTCGGCGAAGAAAGCTCGACGGTCGCGTGCTCGGGGCGAGAATGAACACGTACTTTCTAGAACAACAAAAGCAGGAATAAATGATAGAAGTTATGTCCGGAGCAAGAACAAACGTGAACCTTGTAGAAGTCCGTGACCAAGCGTTGCTTTCTCGGCCCTGCGCGCGGCAAAATTCACAACCATTGATTTTATACACCAACTCATCTCTGTGACGTCACGGCGCGGTGGTGGCGCGTCGGTCGGACTTCCGGTCTGGGGCTGTGGGCAGAAGTCCCCATGCCAGACGTGTATTCCTGCGTTGTTTTGAAGGGAACCAGACAAAAACCTGCCTTCTCCTCGAAACGCCGGGACTGGGCCGTGCCAAAAAAGTCGAGGAAGATTTCAAGGCCAGTTTTCAAGTGCTGGGTTCGTCCGAGAATCTGGATATGTGCCGTGAAAAGGGAAAAGCAGACGCCGACGGACAATGATTGCTTGGGCGGGAAGCACTTTGAGTTGAATTCACGGATACTTGTGGTCATCAGATTTATTTGTTTTATTCCAACATGAACGCCAGAAAACCATCAAGTTGTGCGGACCACCTGCGGACTACGTTCAGTGCGTCTGCAAGTTCAAACGGCCGCCTGATCGTTCGAACTGTCGTCTGCTCTTTCAAACGTTTCTGCTTGTCGTCTGCTCTCTTAGACGACGCCGGCCCGTAGATTAAATGTTGGCCCGGTACTTGCTATACGAAGTAAGTGAAGGTCTCAAAAGACTTAAGTTTGAAGGTTGGTAAGCAGGCTCGATGTAAACAGTAAATACAAGGAGATGTTGATCATTGTTACGAGTGGCGGTCACTGACTTGCTATGCCTAATTCACTTGGTCCGACTCTGCTTGCGATTTTCAGTATCGACGTCGACTATCTCAGCTACGGTTCACGCTTTTGCAGCCCGAGCGGCGTCGCGACTGAAAATTGCGAACGAAATCTCATCATGCGAACCAGGTTTTAGCGTACATACTGCGGCGTCCACGCGGCATGAATCGCCACATGTCACGCGTGACATGTGGCGAAACTTCGCCACATGTCACGCGAAGTTTCGCGGTGTAGCGAGCCTCGATAATTTCGCTGACACCGCTCAAGTAGTCAGACATCGCCAGGAAGACGTAGAATCAACAACTCGAACGCGAAAAAGAGCAGGGGGACTCACACCGACGCCGACAACATCGCATTCCAAAGGTTTGTTTATGGGCGACGGCGAGCTTCTTGCCCACACCCCCATCGCGCATGCGCGGCGCCGGTGGCGTCCGCTAGGGGCGCTCCGGTTTGTTTGTAAACATGATTTGGTGTATACGAGGTTTATTTATCTGAATTAAAATTTTTATAGCTTTGCGATTCTAACAGCATCAAACTCCGGCTGTAACAACGAGGCATTGCACTTTGACCAAACAGCTGTTTCATTTTTCTCAAGAAGCCCGTAATGCAGTGCGTCAGGTATTCGTGAGTACCTCGATTGAAAGAAAGAAAAAAACCAGGCTCTTTCCTAGGGTGCCTCAATGTCCTTCTGTTTAGGGTGATGCCACCCTTTGTAGTACCCGATGCCGACAGCACGCGCTCACGGGTAAAATACAAAGAAATTGTCGAAAACAAAATGTCGCCATAACACAATCAGCGCCAGAAACGCGTGCAGTGACACGCTCTTTCACGCGCTTCTGAACAAAAAATAAAAATAAACGTGTGGGACAAAATGGCCAGATGTCTCCAGCCTAAGCAAAGCGCACATGAAGGCACCCTAGTCTTTCCAGAGCCCTGTTGCTCAAGGTCATAAAAGTGTGACTGGAGGCGACACAAAACGCTTCCAAAACACTCTTGTGTCTTAACTTAGGGCAGTAAGATAGTAAAGTAACGCCAGGAAAGTAACGGATTACTTTTTGTGGTAATGGCCCATTAATTTTATGGAAGGTTAATTGTAACCGTAATTAGTTACAATTTAGCATTGCGTAATTGTAAATGTAATTCCTTACTTTTTTCAGTAGCGTGTACAAATCCGCTTCCCCAATCTTCCGCAATAGTAAGTGCTTCGCTGTCGCTGGCCATGGGCGCCGACGTGGCGGACACCGCCATCTTTGAGCTTTAGACATTCTTAGAGCTCGGATGTTCTCATCTTTGATTGTATACGAGCCATTACCCGAATGTTTGACAATGCTGATTTTCATGAACCCGAACGGTCGACTAGGGATCATCATAATCGAATATGTCATGGTGTCAAGTGGCTCACGGAGGAAAGTTGTGATATCATGTGATGTCATCGTGTCAACAACGCTGATATATCTAGTGGCGTTTGCAATTTAAAAGGACTTTTTGCAGTGAGTCACGTCACGTAACGTCAAAAGGCCACGTGACGTGATATTGACGACATGTCTTGATAGCATGACGTCACGTGCCAAGTGACACCTGATTAATCAGAGTTCCCATAAAAAAGCGCCACAAAAACACAATTTTTTTTTATAAATTTCAGTTGTGGATATGACGATTTGATCAATACATAGAAATACAGCTGCCAATTTTTTTATTCTCAAATATTTATTTTCTGATACTATCCTCCGTTTCACTTTAAGTGCGAGCGTAGTTGCAGCTACAAGAGCGAGCTCCGGGATTTCAGCGTCCATGCCAAGCACACGCGCTCGTACAGTGTAGCACTGCTCAGTGCCCTATGCTCGTGCTAGTAGCACAGGCTGCGTCTAAACTTAAACTAAAACGAAGTATATAAAAAAAAAATTACCGTGAACCGTTTTGAACCGGTTACAGTTATTTTTTCTTCCGGTTCAGTTCCGGTTTACAAGATGGTGGGGAATATTTTGGTTCAGTTCCATTTCGGCTAAAAATAACGGTTCGGTTCCGGTTTTCGCTCCGGTTCGGTTCCGGTTCGAAACTCCGGTTGGAACGTCCGGTGGAAGAGCATTTGGTGCTGGGAATATCAGAGGTCCTGACATAAACATTTGCGATGTATCAGCAATGCTCCACAGCGATCTTTCTCGCATGACCCAGAACGTCTCAGTTGTTATCGAACGTTCGGTGTGTACTCTTAAGAGAGTTTATGTTTGATGTTGATATATCTGGTTGGCGGTAACTTGTTGGCCATGCTACGCGTGAATCATAAGTTTTCGTTTTCACAGGCACCGGGATAGGGTGGAAGACGAAGCACATTTCTTGGCAAGCTCAAACCAAGAAAACAGACCGAAGGCGTTCATGTTGCAATCGATGACACCTGGAATTGAATGTAAATAATTTACAAAAAGTCCCCAGGATGTGGTAGCTTTATGAAATAATAAATAAATGCTGGGACCTAAGTTGGCGGGGGGGGGGGGGGGGGGGGGAGGGGGGGGGGGGAGTTCAGCTGGTACCCTCTAGCCTCTGTTGTGTGGCTTAAAGAAAATTCGCCATGTGTGGGTTTCGGTCCCAGTCTAGGCGAATTCACACCGGCCACCTAGAGGTTGTCTGGTGTGCCCTTTAGGTGGCTGATCTGCTGCTTAAAAGATTCTCTTAGACCAGGATCGATGCAGTCAGGAACCGCTCCTTCGTTGGACACCAGGGTCACCTCAGGGCAGAAAATATCTTTCTCGTGTTCCTCGTGACCTCTTTGCGAGGAGGTTAATAATCTTTGGAGAAGGTGGACAATTTTACAAATGTGACGATGTGAAATAAAATAAGTAGCTTTCTTTTGAGATGGTGTGTTTGTGTGGCTGCCTTTTCTAGCGTAAAACTATGTCTTTCTTGGCGATTAGAAGGGGGTGTAGGTAGAGTTGGAAGTCGCTATCACGAAAACTTCACGGAAGTGACGTCTCTCGGGGCGTGCACCAATGATGCGGCGAACATGCTGTAACGTCACCCACAAAAACGACGTCGGCTTTTTTTTTTGCTTTTTTTTATTTACTTTTACTTTGTTTTTCTTTTTTTTTTTTTTCTGTAGGCGTAAAGCAATGCCGCGGCGAACATGGAACAAGCCAAGCTGTCACTTCAACCAGGGAGGCACTGGCGCCCCCTTCCCCCCCCCCCCCCTTTTTTTTTCTTCTTTTGGGCGTAGAGCGATGACGCGGTTAACAAGCTATAGCGTCAGCGCGGAGGCGCCATCGGGTTCTTTTTTATGTTTATTTTTTAGCAGGTGGTGACTCTTTTATGTTTGGTCCAATGACGTAGCGAACACGCTATCGCGTCAACCACGGAGGTGCCGTCGGCTCCTTTCATCCGTGTGTGCTTCTGGAAAAAGGTTCGTATCTTTGGGCTTGAAATGACCCAATAGCGCGCCCTGGTTTCCTCCGTCGACTTACTTTGTACACAATTACGCATATGCGCCTCGGAGATGGCGGCGCGGGGGTCAGCAAAATTGCCTCTACCAGACTCTAAACCACGGGCACTCACTTCTTGTGCACCCGGGGCCATCGACACGCGGCGCGAGCCTGTGGACGTATTTCCAGCTGCTACAAACAGCACATCTGGGAGGAGTGGACATGGCACGACGGCCACGACCCCTCATATATCACCCCCCTCTCGTTTCTTGTGCCACCCGCACGTAGTTCTACAGAAAGTTATGCAGCATAGCGCACCTATGCACTAACCAATTATTTTATTTGTTACCAGTCTTGAAGCATTATAGAGTAAGTTTACCAGCTTGCTTGCGTTTCTTTATTTTCACCTAGAGGGTGCAGGGGGCACTGCGTTAAAGAATAGACTAACGGCAGTTTGAGTAATAATTCTGTCACAAGGGAATTTAAAATTACGATTATACTGAAGGAAGTCTAAAAACTGCCTGCAGAAACCACTATTGTTCGTTGTCTATGAATTGCGATAGAATTCGTCATGTTTCCCTCCTTCTTTTGTTACGAGGCCATGTACGACGTCAAGGACGGCGTCTAGGACGACGTCGAGGACGGCGGCGTCCTAGAGGATGACGTTAAGAACGACGCCTAGGACGACCTTAAGGACGATCTCTAGGACAACCTCTAGACCGGCCTCAAGGACGAACTCTAAGACGACCTCCAGGACGACCTCAGGGACGACATCGAGGACGACGCCGAAGACGACATCTATAACGACCTCTAAGACGACCTCTAGGGCGACCTTAACGACGACCTCTAGGACAACCTCGAGGAAGACTTCAAGGACGACGTCTAATACGATGTGCTAGAAGACGACGTCTAGGACAGCTTCTAGGACGGCCTCTAGCGTGGTCTCGAAGACGCACTCTAGGACGACGTTGACGTCAAAGAACGACGTTCAAGAGGATGTCAAGGTCGCCAGGTCCTTCGAAGGGGGTGCGAATGTAAAGGAGTGCGCACTGCTTCTCCGCATACGCGCGGCGCAAAGGGGTGCAAGCGCAGTGAGCTGAAATGGTCTCCTGCGCATTAGGAGGCCAGAGAGGTCCAAGAAATCGGAGGGGGAGGGGGGAGCTGAATAATGTAGTCGCATTAGAATCTGACCAACCTGGCACATGCCGAGTAGAACGTGCAGAGTCGGGACCCTGAGCTGAATTGCCAGTCTTGTCTAAATGCCATTTGAAATGTCCTCGTTATACCCCAGTTTTACGGGCATCTTAAAGGCCTTCAAAGCAAGCTCTTTTACAGAATCGGCGAAGCAGCGCACTCGGATGGACATGCCCAGAGCATAAATCTCAAATTGATTCTCGGATTCTTCGAGAGCCCGTTTTAAAGGCCTTGAATGTACAAATGAAAAGCGGTTATGACAAAGCAGATTTGTACGGTTCTCATTGCAAGTAATGAAATCACTTGTATCGATTAGTTTCTAAAGCAATTTTGTTATGACATGATTATATTTATTTGGAATTAATCACAAGAGTAATCTGATTAATTTTCGAAGTGCAGAAATTATTTGTAACCGTTACTATATTTCCCTCTCCTTCCTAATGACGCCCTTCGTTTGTACACGTTTCCTACCATTTCATCTATGAACCGAGTCTTCGACAGGAGTATGCATGGTTTACCAAAATTGGTGGATTAAGATGACGTGTAGTTTATAATTCGGTAATTCTGATTAGTTTATGGACAGTACCAAAGACTCGTTTTGAAACCGGCAGAAAGCTTTGTCGTTTTGAAAATATGGAGTAATTGGAGAAGTAAAGGTTACTTTTACAAGTAACGACCAAGTACCTTTCGTGTTGAGTAATCGAGTAATCTAATTGGGTACTTTTCGCGCAAAAGTGATTGCAACTATAATTGAGTACTTTTCGAATAGCGTGCACAAGGCTGAGACAGAGGTGTAGGTAACATAGAAGGTATAACACGTGAACTGTAATTGTGGTTCAGGTGGAATCCCGAAGTGCGGTCAGCTCGATCCACTGTGGACGACCACTGAACACGGCGCGCCCAGCGCTTCGCCCCAAACCCCTGGGAAACTTTCTCCAGAGGCGTCCGGCAGACGATGCTTTCCCGGAGACCGAGACCATGTTCCCGCTGCTGTCCGACAGTCGCTTCGAGACCTCCATGACCAACTACCTGGCCGAAAGCCCGCCCGAGACGCCGGTGCCGACGCGGCACGCCCATACCTCCAGAGCCGGAGCATCTGGGTTAACTCACAGGTAAAGTAACCTTATACACTTGCTTTCAGGAACGTTATGCCCTCCATGGCATGTTCCTTTATTATCGGCCTTTATCACAGTTCCTGGTGGGGACGTCTATCCCAATGGGATTCATGTTACCACGGCCTGTCGAAGGGTCTGGCTTGTTTCTTTTAATGGCTTGTTTAGATAATGGATCATGGGCGTTTACGTGTTTGGCGAATATTTTAGGTAAACAGAATGGCAGGATTTTTGTATTTGTTTTACTTTTTCTGAATACACATACAATCCGGATAGAAAAAAAAAAGATGATGCGAAACTTTTATTTCACGCCATACTGCAACATACAATCAAAAACTGTGAAGGTCATAACTCATAAACTACAGTTGGAAGGTTTCAAAAGCTTCAGAGCTGCTATCCTGCACTCTATCATGCCCGTTCGTGGAGCAGATATGAATATACTTTTTCGTGAGTGACATACTTTAATGTAAATATCTGATCGCGCATGGACGACGACCGCTGACATCTTTGTTATCTTCTTGGGATGAACATCCGCTATCGCTTGAGTACTCTCGTTAACACACTCAGTGCTCGTTCCTGCTTGAAGAGTCTGAAAAATACGGCTTCCAATAGATTTAAGCATCGTTTTAGGAACCAACCCAAGTGCCGACTAGCACGTAGAGTTTGATGTTTTTAGCGTGGATGCGTCCGGATTAAAACCCCGTCCACTCACGCTCACGGGAGGCCATCGCTGAGGAGTCTCCACCAGTAGCGCTTTCTTCGCTCTCGTTACCACACGCAGCGTTCGTACCAGCTTTGAGAATCTGAAAAATACAGCTTCCGATAGATTTCAGAATTGTTTTAGGAGCAAACACAAATGCCGACTAACAGCGTTTGAAGTTTCTAGCGTGGATGCGCCTGGATTGGAACACGGTCCGCTGACGCCCACGGAAACAATCTCTGAGGAATATCTAGCAGCTGCGCCTCTCTGCTCTCGTTAACACACGCAGTGTTCGTACTTGCTTGGAGAATCTGAAAAGATATGGCTTCCGGTAGATTTCAGCATTGTTTTAGAAGGAAACTCATACGTCGACGAACAGCGTTAGAATCTTCTAGCGTGGTTGCGTCTGGATTGAAACACTGTCCACTCACGCCGACGAGAAGCCCTCTCGTGTAATACACGCAGTGTTCGTTCCTGCTTGGAGAATGCGAAAAATATGGCTTCGAATGCGCCGAGAAGCTGAGGGAGAGGAGGAAACAAGAGCACGCGGGAACGTCAAAACGCCGAGTTCTGGTTCGAATGATCCCTGACAAAATGTTGAAATGAGTTTCAATTGAACTTGTAAATAATTCACTCAATACATCGTGCTGAGTTTCAATGAAAACACTTGTTTTTTTCTTATGTGTGCCTATTGAGTCTTCACAGAATATTGGCCACTGCGTTCCAATTGAATTTTAATACAAGTTTAGTGGCTCTCTCAATTAATTTTTTTACAACTTCGTTAAAAAATCCTTCAACGTGTTGAGCATTTTTATTTTATAATTCCTTAACGCATGGAACATGAAGGAGGCGAAGTACATGAAGGAACCCAACGTAAACATCATAAAGCGCTCACAGCACTACTCGCGCTCACCTTGACTACTCCACTGCTTTATACACCCTACACATGAAAAGTATTCATTTGGCCGGTGACCATCTCAGCATTTATTAAGGTTCCCAGTATGCTATCCCCTCCTCGGAAGTATGATAGTATGTTAAGTGATAAACAGTGTTTCGGCGTTATTAGACTCTATTTCTTAGTAACACACGCACACGCACACACACACACACACACACACACACACACACACACACACACACACACACACACACGCACGCACGCACGCACGCACACACACACACACACGCACACACACACACACACACACACACACACACACACACACACACACACACACACACACACACACACACACACACACACACACACACACACACACACACACACACACACACACACACAGAGAAACTTAAAAAAAACATTGGCACAAGGTCTAATCCTTCGGTGCTGCCGCTAAATCCACAAAAGCGATTCCTAGCCGGTCTGCTAGCGCTTCTCTGCATTGCACCACTCAGGGCAAGACGAGGCAAGGTAGTCGCTCTCCTTTCAACTATTTTATTGCTTCTTTTCTTTACGAAGTGACTTGCATAATAGGCTCAATTATGTCACTGTAGTCACTGAAAGAGTGAAAACGGCATGGCGGGTCTTTCAAACACCTGGCCTTGTGCACGCGCTCCATGCCTTCCGCCGTGCTTTCACAGCTCGCGCGCGCTTGATGTGCACGAGACGTTGAAGCGTTTTTGAGGGGGAGATTCAAGCTTGAGGAGAGACAAGTCAAGCTCTTCCCTGTTGTTCTCACCTTGTGTGCGACCTTATTGTTATTATAATTCCCGCTATATGCTCTCGAAGGTGTCAGGAGGTTTGGATTCCGTTTCTTGCACAAATGAATCTGAGCAAATATGTTTATGCTGAGAGACATAAGTCTACTCATGGTTATTTGCAGCTGTGCCCTTGCTGGGTTCCTCAGCAGCAGAGGGCGCAAGCCGGCTGATGTCAACTACTCAGTGATAAAAACTCGCTTGAATCTCTAATGAGGAGACAAAGAAATGTCTGTCAAGTGAAAAAACTCAAGTGCATGTACAGTGACTAAGCTCAAATTAATGAATGGCGAAACTCATTTATATATAAAATGAGTAAACTTAATATAATGAATTTTGAGCTCTTCATGATGAGACTAAGTTGCAAATATAATAGGCAAATTCAAGAACATATATACTGAGTTCATAATAAGCAAATTTCAATGCCATTTTAATGAGTAAACATATATATATATATATATATCAGTTCATAATGAGCAAACTCAATTGCATTCTTAATGAGTAAATGCAAATTAATATATATTTAGTTCTTAATGGCCAAACTAAATGCCATTCCTAATGAGTAAATTGAAAAAAAAATAGATATTGAGCTTTTAATGATCAAACTCAGATTAGACGTTGAGTTTATATTGAGTTTTAATCGACTCAGGAAACTCAATTGAAACTGTTTGATCATTTTTGTAAGGAATTAGTGGGTAGAGCTAAAGCTAGCGGCCTTTGTCTTCAGTGCACTCGTCGAACGCGGTAGAACGCCGGCGTCCGGCGTTTGGCTCTCGCACTGGAACACGTTCGACGAGTGTGGTAGAGACAAAGGCAGGCAGCTTTTGGTCTACCCACGAATCATTCCAACCAGAGCTCGGCGTTCTGGCGTCCCCACGCGCTCTCGTGTCCTCCTCTCCCTCACTTCCTCGGCGCATAGATTTCAGCGTTGTTGTAGGAGCAAACTCATGTGCCTACTAGGAGTTTCTGATGTTTCTAGTGCGATTGCGTCTGGATTGGAATACCGTTCACTTACGCCCTCGGGAAGCCCCTATGAGGAGAACCATCCAGTAGCGCCTCTCTGTCCGCGTTAACGCAGGCGGTGTTCGTTCCTGCTTCGATAATCTGACACAATCGGCGTCCAGTAGATTTCGGCGTTGTTGTAGGAGTAAAATCTAGATGACTGCTAAGAGCGTTCGAAGTTTCTAGCGAGGGTGTGTCTGGTTTGAAACACCGTCCACTCACGCCCACAGGAAGTCATCCACGAGGAGTCCCCATCAGCGGCGCCTCCCTGCTCTCGACTCAGATTTGTACCGCACTGATCTCAAGTAATCAAATCACTTGTCATTGGTCATTGTTAGGAGTAGTTTTGCAATCGTTGGATTAGATTTATTAGTAAGTAACCGCACCAGTAGTTTGATTACTTTTGGAAGTACTGAAATTGCTTGCAACCGCTACATTTTCCCTTCCGTTTCTAATGGCGCCCTTTGTCCGTACAAGTTTTCTACCAAGTAATTCTCGAACCCAATCTCGGATAGAAGGATTGTTAACGAAAATATGTGGATTAAGAAGATAAGTGGCTAACAATTCTGATTCTAATCCAACAAAGGACAGTACAAAAGTCCCGTTTCCAAACCGGCAGGAGCATTGCCGTTTTTGAAAACCTGAAGTAAAGCGGTAACTTGTTTTTATGTAACGGCCAATTACTTTTAGTCTCAAGTAATCAAGTAATCTAATTGAATAGTTTTTAAGCGAGAGTAATTGTAACTGTAATAGGTCATGTTTTTCGACTAACGTTTACAAAACCGGAACACACGCAAGGTTAGTCCCTGCTTGAAGAATCTGAAAAAAAAAAAATCTTCTGATCAATTTCAGCGTTGCTGCAGGAGAAAACCTGTATGCCTACTACGAGATGCTTCGTCCGATTTTCCTGCACCTTTTGCAGCGGTGCAGAAAAGTGTAGGCAGTCTACTTCCGGTATTTGTATTGAGATGCGACCGGAAGTACACCGCCCTACACTTTTCTGCACCGGTGCGGGAACTGCAGGTAGATGGAAAGAAGCTAGTGTTTGAAGTTGCCAGCGTGGATGCGTCTGGATTGAAACACCGTACACTCACGCCCACATAGTGGACAGTCCCCACCAGTAGCGCCTCTTTACTCTGAAGACATAAGCCGCCCTGCTCTACAGTCCAACTGTTCACGGTATTTGACGTAATAATTCCTGTTAATACGTTGTAGTATAACGTGAAAACTAGTCAAAGAGAACGTCTAATCTTCTCAGCGTATAAAATGAACAGGCGATAATTGAACGTTGTTCACGACGCAGGCAACGTGCTGCGACCACCAGTGCGGTGCGCGGTAGACACTACGACAGAGAGGACGGACCACTCACAAGAAGCGTGTCTAGTGGATTCTTCAAAAGGATCTTCTGTGGGACCCCTCGAAAGTACTCGGTGGGTGACGTAAAGATCGCATGTTTCTTTAACGTCCATCGAAGCAACACAAGTCTGTAGCATTAAAGGGGGTTGTATACATCTGCTCAACCTTGACATCTGCATGCTGAATCTTCCATTCTAAAGAATTTTGCTTACACATATGAACCCCTTAGAGGAAGTAAGACAGCTCGCCCCCGCACCTTTCACTTTCCAGGGCGTTTTGTTTCTTGGTTTTCTGAGCGACTTGTATGGTAGCTTTTGTAACTGGGGTGTTGGTGTTTTATCGTGTATACTCGTTTACACACACACAAATAAAGTTAAACTTTTTGCGGAGTATTACTAATTTTCCTCTTTATGTTGGGAATTAACATACCTGTACGTTCGTGTAAGATAAACTATGTTTGATTTTATAAAAAAGAAATGTACATAGTTTGAAGCAAAACGAATCGTCCTTGTATTTTTCTTTCAACCACATCTTGTTAGACTCACCTTCCACAGCCAATGAACTGTGCACACATACGTCTTTCCTGGGGTTTGCAACGAGTATAAAGTGAACGACAGTAACATGTATGACTCACTAGAAAACACCGAGAGTGGCGATTAAAACTGCGTTACCTCTCCCATAGTCCCTCATCACATTTGAAGAAGGGTAGGATGTCCTAATCGCAAAGAACAATCCCAAGAAAAGCTTCCAAACGTTGCCGGTCTTTTCTATTATTATTCACGTCCATGCTCGTATTGGCACAGAAGCCCGAATGTCCTTCTGCTTAACCACTACCACTAAGCATAATCAAAGCAGGTGAGCGTCCTCCGCCACCTCCGCGTTACGTCATCGCAGTTGGATGGCTCCAAGTCAGCAAACGCTTTTAGCCCGATGCCGAGTGCTCTTCGACGCATTAAGTGGACACGAGGCCCAACCGAACACTAACGCAGTATTCGCGTCCAGTCTGTGTCTGCGCTCGATCTCCCTGTAATGACCCAAAAATTGCTAGTTCATCCATCTTGATTATATACTAGGAGGTATTAGCTTAACTAGGCGAAATTCCTTATGTTTAACGTTAAAGATAAGTGCGTGGCAGGAGGGAATCAAAGGCATAATGTCAATTGTGTAGTACCGAAGTTAATAGTCCACGTAGAGTACCGGCGTGATATGAACAGCAGATAGCTTTTCAGAGGGTGTTGATGATGATTTTAGAACGCGTTGTTTTCTTTTCGACATGAAATTGAAAGCTTCACGAGCCCAAAAAAATTTTCTATATCATGAAAGCAAAATATCGTTTTCTGCCACTGCCTCGGCGAGTAGCTTTGATTTAGCGTATATAAGTCATGCTAATGCACCGCGTGCGACTACTTAGAGCTAGACATGCAACTTTTTTTTTTCGCTCAATGCTCCGCATGACGGGAACAAAGGCTACCAGACTCTCGCTTGAAGGCACTCACTCGCCGGGACTACCTTTCAGAACAATCGTCTTGCGCTCTAAGAAGTCGGTCTAATGAACTAGGTGACTCTAGAAACGTAAAGAACGTAATTATTTGACAATTTACCAGTATTCATTTTGTCAAACAGTCTTTAGTGCATACTAGCCTGTAATGCACTCGAGCCAAACTAATTTTTGCAAACACCAGCTGTGATCTCTTTGTCTCCAGTTCCCTCCCCAAGAAAAGGACACTTCTCCTGAGCTGAGTTTCAGCGAAGTCATGATGCGCTACCATCGGAAGTCCCCTGATTCGAGGAACTCCTTCTGCTCGACCACGAAGAAAACGAGCCCGACCACCAAGAAAGCGAGCGAGAGAAAGACCCTCCCCGAAGTCGTGCCCGCTGCCCCGCCTCCAGCGCAGAGGTATGCATGCACTGTGCCACCTAAATGTGTGAAACGATAAAGAAATTTACCAACGACTCTTATCTTAAAGTTCTATAGGACCTTTTTGAAAGACTGCCCTCTGTTGGAAGCTGTGGAATCCCTGCACTATGGAGGGCTAAAACCGCAACGTCACGGCACACTTTATGCGTTTGGTTGGATTAGAAGGTAAAACACACCCACAGCAACAGGCGACGAGCGCAGTGGCGTTGCATTTCCGACGCGGTTTGTTTGCCTCGTCGCATCCTTGCATTGGCTGCCATTGTGCTGTGGTCCCGACCTTCTAATAATCCGCACTTGATTTTCGAGAGGGGAGTAGAGTGCATGGAATGCAGTGCGCAAGAAACAATCGTTCAAATTTGTTTAGAGGTTATTTAACGGTCGTTTCTGGGAGTAAACCTATTGTTTATTATTTTCCCCGTTAACTTTAGTGGGGGAATTGACGTCACTCGTCCTGGTGTCACGTGCTGTGATATCACGTGGCACCACGATTCGACATCATGGTGTCGCGGTGGCACGTGACGTGACGTCACATGATGTCGAGACAGGTGACGCCAATTTCTCATCCAAATTTAGTAAGGAAATGGGCGTCACGCAGCATGGTCATCTGACGTGACATCAAGGTTCAAGTCGCAGTGTCACGCGCTACCATGACGTCACATTACGCCAATTTCCTTACTAAATTTTGCGGGGAAACGTTGAAACGACCGAACGGATGAACGGGCGGACAGAGAAACAAATATCTAGGATTGGGGGTTCCATAAAAAGATTTTTATGCCTTCAAATACGGCCTTCCAAAGCTGGGCTCAACCATGTTAATTCTTGTTTTAATGGAGGTATTCTGCCCCTTACTCGTTTGGCGGCCTTCGAATACGATTATTTAAGCGTAACTTGGTATTTTTAACACTGGCGATTGACACGTCAGGCACGTGCAGGACAAAAAATATCTAACCTGTCGTGCGACGTTTTGGAAAGATTGCCGAATAATGATTTCTGAGATTCCCGGTGCTCGAAGTGGTGTGTTTCCAATTCTTCTTCTCTTGTGCGTGCTCAGATTGTTCAGGCACCGGCACTTTCGGAGAACGTGGCCGCATTTAACCCCGCTGAATTCTGTCAGACTCGGTCATTTTCTAACGCTTTTTCTGCTTCCCGGCGACTTCGGGCTTCTTCGTGCTCTCTGACGCAGGTATAAGGTGAAAATATGAAGGAATGAGACTTTATGCCTTTTTTGCGCAACATCGCTCTGGATCATCTAGATATTTCCACCTATGAGACAGCATCAGCCGTATCACCGTACCGGTGCTCGGATTCCCGGATGTGTTCGAGGATCGATAGAACCTTGAGTGCTTTTAGCATGAAATTTTCGCATTCTCTTAGCTTTGTTTGAACGTTGGAATGTTTGAGAATCAACGCGAAATGTATGCATCGCACGTAGGGCCCAGGGAAATTTGTTTTAGCCCTAGGCAACTGGATAATTGCAGCAACTTTTACCGAGGAAGCTCCTGAGAAAGTTGAAAAATGTTGACTATATACCATCCCTTTCGAACTCTTCAATAGACTTTTTTTCAAAAGTGTGGGCCGCCTATACTTTGTTTCACCATAACTTGGAAAAGGGCAACCGCCACAGCCCCCTCAACTCAATCGGAGAGACGGAGTGAAGGTGTGTGACAAATCTGTGCAAATGAGCACTGTGGTGATATGTTGTCATGTGCCTCTCTCCAACGTACATACTGACTGACCGAGACTGTAGCCTTCAGCAAAATTATTGGTTGGCCTAGTTGGTTAAACATTACGAAAATTAAAAACCGCAAAAGACAAGGACAAGAGGGAGACAACACAGGACAAGCGCTTGTCCTGTGTTGTCTCGCTCTTGTCCTTGTCTTTTGCGCTTTTTAATTTTCGTACTGTAGCCTTCGCTGTTTGCCAAATTGTGATGAAACGGATTACAGTAACTACTTCTTTAATTACCCAAGGCCTTCATACTTTGGGCATTTGTTCGATTAGAATGTTATGTCAGCCATCACTGTGAACTTGGCTCAGCGCCTATTGGACTCGAATGCTGCATTAGCCTTCGACGTGAACCGGGGCCCATTTGTGTGCTTTACGCCGAAAAAAAATTGGTGACAGATGTGTTGCTTGGTGAGGTTTTGCAAAGGGTCTCTTGTGTCATACGTATAGAAAGTGTCCGGCTATATACCAATGCATCCGTACTATTAAACTAGATGCTCAGAGGTGTGTTTGTTTTTCCACTGAACAAGTTGCAGCAATAATTATTTCTTACGAGTGTAATATTTATTTTCGGTAGCTTGGCCCGGTTTGTGCTCATTTATGTCCGTGTGCTCTGATGTTATCATGTGGGTAGCTTTAATTATCCTCTCTGCAATGCCTACAGAGGCCCTTGGAGAAAATAAATTAATAAACAACATTTTCACATCACTGGAGTTGGTTTTCGGATGCGCCACATATTCAGGAGAAGTGGAATGAGTGCAGCCCAATGCTACCAGTCTGCCAGTCTGGTATGTCCCATCAATTAATATTGAGGGGTCAGAGATTCGGGTGCCCTAAAAAGGTCCAGCACGTGCGGTGAACATAATTCTTTGTGTAGAGACTCTGAAGGCGTAAAGGCCAGTGGAAATATGTTATCTGGTTAGTGTATCAAGTATGTTTATTTCCACTTAATTACATAATTATTGATTCTTAGAAAATGGTTCCATAACAAGTTCTTTCTGCGACAGTCTCGTGTCAGGCGTTTAGTCGTAGTACCTGTGCTCCTTGTTGTCGGATGACGCTCCTGGCACGTCGGTGTTCACTTTGGTCGAGTGGCAACTTTGACCGACAGATGCCGTCTTGTAACCATACGTCATGTGCGGCCACTGACATTTGATGCACTGAAGCTGTAGAGCTGGCTTCTAATCCGCTAATTTTCCTAGTACCGTATTTTCCGGATCCGCACTAGAGCAGCACTGCACGGGCCCGGGCCGGGCAACGTACGCTTCAGCCGGGCCCGGGCCGGGCCCGGGCCACACCCGGGACGCATCCGGGCCGTCCGGCCCGGGCCAAGCCCGGGCCACACCTGGGACGAATTGGGGCCATCCGGCTCAGATCCTGCACGGATCTCGGCCGTCCGCATAGAAAGCATAGAAGTTCACTCAATCGCTAAAACAGAAGGGCAATATACATACAGAACACCAACTGAACCGATCGACACCCTAAAACAGGGTCGTTCGGTTTTTTCGCAATTCGACGTTTCTCCGAACCTCCGCACCAGCCCGCGGTCCGGAGGTTCGGGGAAACGCGCCCCTTGAACTTATGTTTATCTTTTACTCTCTTTGCCCGCGCATTCTTTTTCCATGGGTGGGTTGGTGAACACGAGGCCTTTGCTGGGGTCATATCGTTTGGGCGCCCTCGATGTGGGGTTTTCGTGCGTTGCGGTGTCCAAAAACAGGTCGCGTACGGGTCCGTCGACGGTTGACAGTGATTTGTAGGTGCACGTGGCTCTGGACGAATACTGTTCCCGAGCTGTGAGCACAATTGCCGTGGGCGTTGATGGGGACCTCGTGGTGTGGGGTGGGGCTGTGGGCTCCTCTCGGACGATCGTTTGACTTCGGAGAAGTCTGCGAACCGGGCCAGCGATATTGTTTTTCTTAAAATCGTCAGGGGTTCTGGTGGACCGTCTTTGTGCTGTTGTGTATTTCTTTCCCAACGCAAAGAAAAAAAAGAAGAAAAAGCAAGAACCATCTTTGCTGTATTTCTGTCTGTAATGTTGGTGCTTCAAAAATAACTACACCAATGGAAAACTCTCGCCGGCTACACGCTATCGCGGGCCGGGAGGAAGGGGGCACATTGTTCGGCGTTCTGAAACGAGAACGAGCATACTTTCCCACTCTACGTCGTGTGACAGCCCTCTCTGCGTGAACACGTGAACGAAGCCGCCTGATTGGTTAAAGAAGTTTATATGACCGGACCTTGCTTTCACCTATTGGTTTTTTTTTAAAACGAATTGATTCGAGGTGACTGCGACATGACTAATCTTCAGCTACGTCGAGCTGACTTTGCCGCAAGCGGACAATTGAAGTTTTTACGCTGTCTTCAGTTTCCCTTTCGTGAATTTTAAAATGAACGTCGCCAAGTTTTAGGAAATACTTTCATCGGGGCAGCTGAAGCTTGTCACAAAGGAATCCAAACAAAGTGATGTGTGGAAGAAATTTGTGAAATTTCTTGACGCAACCACGTCAGCACCGCTGGGACATATTCAATGCACCCACTGCATCGCATTTTTGAACTACGACGGCACCAAGACTGATAACTCGCATTGGAGCCGGCAGAAATGTAAGTCATCCACTTCTGAGTGTGCGAGTGTTACTTCTTTTTTCGCCACGAAGAAGTCCAGCATTCCTGCGATTGTCAAAAAGAAGTTGACAACGGCCTGCGTTGGCTTATGCGCCAAAGATATGCGGTCATTTGATGTAGTTTATGGAGACGGCTTTGTTCAGCACGCAGACGAACAAATTAGCATTGTCGCCCGTTACGGATACATCTCTGCCAATGACGTTGGCTAACTTGATGGCTTCAAATTACGTAATATGTTTGATATAAGATAATAATGTACTCTTCTAACTGACCAGTCTGTCTATGCTGGAAAAAGCGGTGGAGAAACTGCATCGTGACGTTGCCGGTGGGAGGAGCTTAATCTCCATCGCCAACCAAGTACATCGGAAGAGAACTGCACCGTGACGTGTCCGGTGACGTCGCCGAACAGTGGCGATTGAGTTGAAACTACATCGTTCTTTTTTTCCCTGCAAGGAATTTCGGAGAATCGCCGAGTAGGCTAGCGCACGCCAGCTCGGAGCACGTGGAGCGAAAGCTCGCGCTGCAGAACCCCGGGATCCTGGGTTCAATCCCCGCTCCTGCCCGTTTCGATCTGCTGGATGAGCATCGTACCGGCGTGCGGTCGTGTACTGCGTGATGCACGTTAAAGACTC